CGCGAACAGCGGTTCTACTCTTACCGTATGTTTCGTGGGGTCGCCCTGAGCTTCCGCAAGAGCTTCCGCGAGCATGATGCTTCCGCGAAACCTTCCGCATGCTCCCGCGCGCACAGCGGGAAGCACTTTTCGGAAGCCATCCCGAGAGATGCCAGGAGTTATTTCCGTATTTTAATATCAGTAGAAAAGTGCACAAAAAAGGGGGCTCACATGGCCATCACCACCTCAGGAATGCACCCGTTCATCTGGCAGAACACCGAGTTGCCCTGGGGCTCATCGTTCTTGATGAAGTTGCCTCCCTAATATGGCCTTGTATCCCGACAAGGTCCCCTCAAGGATCAGTGCCGGCGAGAAGCTCACAAAGACAGGAGGCAACTGCGCACATGTGACATGTGCACCAGGGCCTCCCAGCATCCAGCCCTCCTCCGAAGTGGCCAGCCAAAACGGAGACGCAGATCATCCAGTGGAACCTCAGCAGGCCGAGTGCGCTCGAAGCGCGGGCACTCCCAGCATAAATGGAACCACGAAGCGGGCGCATCACAACCAAACTGACAAGCCGGAAGGTCGTGGCTCGCAGTGCCCTCTCGGCTGACCTGATAGTATGTAATACTACAGGCGCCTCCGCGAAGCACTGAACGATCATGTCCTGACTCCGCATTGCAAAACCTGGTGGCTGCAAGCTTGATCCTACGAGCGTCGTATGTCACCCCAGCAAGCAGACGAGAATCACGGCGATCCTCAGCAACAAAGTCACGCCACTGAGCGCGCCTCAATGACTCCCTGACTGCGTGAAGTCCACGGCCTCGTTGTTGGAATGTGTCTCCAGGTCGAAGCTGAAGCACGCCCTCATCAGCATGGCGCCAGACATAGGGCGCATCCTCCTGCCATCCAAGCTGCCTAAGAAAGCGGCGGATCCTGCCCTGCCAAGTGCCACGCGAAATGCCAGGATCCCAAGGCGAGAAAAACCCATGAGCAAAGACCCTCCAGAAGTGCCCCAGAGAATACAGCCCTGCAGTGAACCTTGCATCGGAATAGTGTCCTTCCATCAAAGCACGCATCCTGGCAGAAGAAGCGAGGTGAGCCTTGCAATTCCTTCTATACAAGGCCTTGTAAAGCCTGACATCAGGCTCCAGCGCGTCAAAATTGATCCATCCCCAACAAAACTTGGGCACCACCAACTGCAAGAAGAGTCGTCGCCTCCTCTTCACTGAAAGCGGCGTCCACAAAATCCGGCGTGCACGGTAGAGAGCATCATGTGCCCGCCTTCGTGCAGTAACACGTTCAGCAGAACTTCTACTGGAGTGAAAATCAACGCCCAAAACTCGCACAGCTTCACGCAGTAATTCCGGTCTACGCTGCACAAAAACTGATCTTTGAATAGCAGTCCGAGGCATGTATGCTTGCTTGTCACGATTTTCAGAAAGGCCCAAACGCCGAGACCAGTCCTCCACAAGGTCGGTGGCCTCCAACAGTTCCCCCGCATCGCGAGCACTGAGGTTACGATCATCCAAGAAGAAGGTAGC